AGCCACAGCTTCTCTGGACAATCTGTGCCAGGGCCTCATCACCTTCACAGAGAACCAGGGTTTTGAGGTGCCGGGGGAGCCATCCCCACTGACCTCCTCCTTCTGTCTCCTTGGAATACCCAAGTCCTGCTTTCTTTCTGCCTGAAAAGAGTCTTTTTGTGCCACCGCCTCCTCTAGCCTGAATCTCCTGCAGCTGAGAGGCTGCTGAGGGTGGTGTGATGCTCTGACCTGCCAACAACAATTCAGGGCTGTGTTTCCTTTTGGAAAAGGCATTTGCATATCCTCTATTCACTTTATTTGGTTAAATATATTTGAAAAGGCAAAAGCTTTCGGTCATTGAGACTGCAGAATGAGCCTTCTGGGGGCCTCCTCCATCTTAACCCCTTGGAACCTTGCTCCAGCATCTTGGAGGATTAAAAATATCCAGAAAAAAGATATTTTAAAGCTGTTTTTGCAGCAGGTATGGGGAAGGGGGCTGGAGACAAGGAAAGTCCTGACAGAGGTCAGCAGAAATATGCCATATACCTTTGAACTGAAAATTCACTTATGTGCAGCCTCAGACTGACTTGCAGAGAGTTTGCAAAATTGAGCATGGACAGAAATGTTTTCAGGGTGACTTGAAAGTACCTGTGAAAACAGGAGAGCAAAAGCAGGTTACAGCAGTATCAGGCACAGAAAAGTGCTGGGTGCTTCAGGGTGTGGGATCAGCATTCTGGAAATGAAAATAGAAATAACCTAATTGCTGCTTTAGTTAACAAAATAAATAAAAAATCCTGCAGCAACAACAAAGATCCTAAAGCATAAGCCACGTGTTTAAAAATAATTTAAACAATGTAATTGCTTGTTATTAGTGTAAAAAAAAGAAAAATTCAGCAAAGTATTTAATTTGGAATATTTAAGGACATCTCAAATCACAGCTCAACCACAGATTTCTCAAAAACCTTCCATGAGATGATGCCAAATCCCCCCTTTTCCCTCATTTTCTACCACAGTGCAAGGCCTTGCTGCCAGAGGAACTGGAGTTGGGTGTGCAGTGTGGTTAGGGTCTCTGGCTGGTGGATGCCATCCCTTCTGACATTCCAGGGTGCAAGAGAGACCCTCTTGGACTGGGCCAGGACATGGCCCCTGCACCTCACTGTGGTGCACCAACCATGCTCAGCTGCAGTGTGGACACTGCTTCTGGATGCCTGTAAAGTATTATGAGGGTGACAGCTGGGAAGAGATGCATAAGCAATAAATTCATCAGCCTGGGTTTATTTTTATTACTTTGCCATCAGTTGGCATCCCTATGGCATAAGGAAATTGAGTGCTAGAGGGAGAAAAGGCAGAAACACTTGCCCAGTAACATAATATTAATGTTCCTAATTATTGAATTAATCCTAAGTTTGTGCTGTATGCTTCCTTCCTGCTGCTCTTTGGAAGTGGTCAAAAATATAGGCGGTATAAACATAAAAGCATAATATCTGACCAGAAGATACAGAAAGAAAAGGAGACCACTAAAAAGAAACACAAGGCAGCTCCCCTTTCTCACACATTATTTGAATTAGTGGCTGGTTTATATTTCTACTTGAGGCATGATTTTCCACAGATGGGCCTTCAGGAATGTAGACATACTGTTGGCAGATTTCTGTTCTGTAACTGAAGCTATTGCTCTGGTTTATGGGAATGTCCTGAAAACCATAGCAGCAGCTTGGATTTTTTTGAGTTATCCTCAGAATTTTGAAGGGTGAAGTGGAACTCTTCCATAGAGCAATGGAAGCTCCCAAGCTGTCTCATCTCTGTGTGGTTTCCTGGTGGTACAGCCTTGTTCAGCTGCACTGATGACTCTACTTAGAGTCATAGAATAGTTTGTGTTAGAAAGGAGCTTTAAAGTTTATCTAGTTAACCCCCCTACAATGAGGAGACATCTTCAACTAGACAAGCTTGTACCAAGACCTGGCCAACCTCACCTTGAATGTTTTCAGGGCTGAGGCATCCATAGCTGCCCTGGGCAACCTGTGCCAGTGTGTCACCACCTTCCTAATAAAAAAATAATTCCTTATATCTAGTCTGAATAGACAATGTTTTAGTTTAAAACAATTACACCGTGTCCTATCCTGTATTCTCCTAGCTATAAGCAGCAATGTTTCAATTCAACCTTAATCTGCATCTCTCATTAATTTTGATAAAGTATAAAAGCATGGAGAGATTCCATAGGTTACTCTCTTTTATAGGATTATTTAACATTGGCTGGGAGCATTAAAAGCATTGTGATTTACTGATATAACTTTTTTTTTCCTGGATTGGTCAGGTCTCAGACAAATCCTGTAAAGTCCTTTGAAGTCTTTCCATTGGTTTTACTGGTAGGTGGGTCTCACTGGGCTTTAGACTGAGCACAAAAGATGAAGTCTAATTTCCTTTGTACTTGTATAAACATCCCTGCTACTTAATGCTCTAAGGTGAGGGCCAGTTTGGAGCAGATTTCTACAGACACAGAAGTCACCTACATCCTGGTTTGAAGCTTAAAAGGGTTCTGTGGCTCCTATTGCCAAGGTGGGGTTCTGGATGCTCAGCATCTCAGTGCTCATCCCCACCAGCCTTCAGCTTTCTGTTCTGCAGGGCACACATCTGTGCAGGGCACAGGCTCACACATCTACAGGAGGATCTGAAAACAGAATTGAGCTGTTCTTTGTGCTCCCATGCCAAAAGATCTCATAGCCAACCCCTATTTGCGGAGAACTGTGTGCTTTCTCTTGGCTGTGAGTCCAAACAATGAGGTTGTCTTCCCATAAAGCTCTGTCCCCATCAACCTAATTTGCCCTGCAAATTACCTGGCAGAAAATTCTGGGGCAGGGGGAAAGCTTTTTCTCAGTGTATTACTTCAAGTATGCTTATATCATTTTCCTCCTAAGGTAGGCAGCCCACATTCAGCTTCCTTGCTTTGCTCTCCCTCAAATATCTCCGATGGTTGTTTGAGTGAATCCATACACATATGTATGCAATGGAAGCAAGACAAGAGAAAGGGAATTACTGCTCAGGGTATTTACAGAGGAGGTAAAAGGGTCAGACTCTACCACGAAACACATACTTTACTCAACCTCACCACCTGTGCTGAGGGTATATTGCCCACGGTGAGCTTCATCTTGGTAGGCCAGACCAGCCCTTACCAGCAGGTGTTTGAAAGAAGAGCTCCATAGCACAGTATGTTGTTTTTAATCCAATATTCATTTGAAATCAGGATTCCCACATCCCCTTTAGGGCATTTCATAATGAACACAGTTATGCTGAGACTGTGGGATACTGGCACTGAAGCCCCAACGAGTCCAGGGCTGTTCATATCCCTGAAATATTTTCCTGACTACAAAGATTCTGTCAGGCTGTGGCTCATAAGGAACAAAGGGACAGGAACCTGAGCTGGTGAATATTGCTGAGGTCCCATTAAGCCAGCACTGTGATGCTGATTTGCACCTGCAGACCATTCAGTCTAGTACTCCCTGCCCTACCCTGGCACTTTGATGAATTAAGCCTGATTGCAGAACACCCCCCACGTGACCCCAACAGAGTGATATTTGACAGTCTTGCCTGAAATCTCATTAAATAATCTCTTCATTCATGGGTGTTAAGTGTTCTTTGAGAATTCTCCTTTACAAACTCCAATATCACAAGTAAAATTTAGGTCAGACAGAAACTTTGTTAACTGTGGTAATAGTGAGTCTTCAGACAGCTGCTCTCCCTCTGCTCCTGCCTTTTCTGCCGAGTGGTTGTGGAAATCCAGCCAGGGAAAAAAAGGAGTTAAGGAAAACAATAATTTCAGTGTTAATAATGTCAGATATTCAGCATCTGGAAGGCTGGACCTCTCAAATGCCTTCCTAACAGCCAGAGTCCTAAGCAGGAATCGAACAGTAAAAAATGAACAGTAAATAATGTGATGATACGGAGCAAGGGCTCCCGGGGGGGGGGCCCAGGATTGGCACACCAGTGTTATCTTTGCTCAGGAGTGGGGAGTTGGAAGCTATCAGACACTATTGGCTTTCAGTTGAAAGGAATGTTCTTGTAGTTAAGATAGTATCTCAGCCAGATCTCTCAAATGTAAATGTAAATAATTTACCATGACAAATGAATTTCAAAGTTCTGGTCTTGTTATTTTGAGTGTAAATGAACAAAACCTGGTTTAGGCTGAAATACCAGGGTGTTGGGTTTTTTCTTTTAATATATATAGCAGTATAAGGATGATGTTGGCAATAGTTACTATCCTACTATTTTATTGATTCAGGGGATTTGTATTTATTCTACTCAGTGATCACAGAATGTTTTAGGTTGGAGGGGTCCTTTAAGGTCATCCAGCTCCAATCCCTCTGCCATGGGCAGGGACACCTTCCACTAGACCAGGTTGCTCCAAGCTCCATCTAACCTGGCCTTGGACCTGTGGGGTGGGGCATCCCCATCTTCTCAGGACAGCTTGATCCAGTGTCTCACCACCCTCACAGGGAAGAATTTATTAGATATTTATTAGATATAATGAGATATTTCCAATATCTAATGTAACCCTGCTCTCTGTCAGTGTGAAGCTTTGTCCTGTCACAAGACATTTAAATGCCTATACCGGACCTATGATGTTTATAGTTCAGCAGATCTGAACTGGTGTCAGAAACTTTCTCTCATGATTTTTCCCAAAGGGAAAAAAAAAAAAAAAAAAAAAAAAAGCCGTTTCTAATTTTAAATCGCGCATTTGCAGGAAGGTTTTACAGTTTTATACCCAAAAAGCCTTGCTTCGAGTCTGTAAATCCTGCAGTATGACAGAGACGTGCGAAAATACTGCAATATTCAGGAGCCGACGGAGTAGGTTTTTCCTGTCTGGAAGGCGGCTCCGGTGGCCGGCGAGTGGAAGCTGAAGGGTTACAGCGGGCATCGCTGCTGCGCTAATACAGCCTAAGCCGATATTAGCCAAGCTTAACTTCTTTCAGCCGCTTGCGGATGGGAGGGGGAGGGACGCCCCGGAGTCAGCAGTTCTGTGCGGGGACCGGGAGGGCAGGAGCCCCGGCCATGAGCTGACCGGCCATCAGAGCACCGGGGAGACCGGCGGATGGTGAGTCCCGCCGGGGGTTTCATTATTATTATTGTTATTATTGTTATTATTGTTATTGCAGCGCGTGTGAGGAGCCCGGGGGCGCTCCGAGCGGGATCCAGGAGCTGCGTTCGGGCAAGGCTCGGCCGGGTCTGGGAGAAGCCGGGAGGCTCCACACGGGATCCCCATCCCAGGGCCCTCCGGGTGGGTCCCGGGGGCCGCAGGCTCCACCCGAGCCGGGCTCGGGGATGCCGAGCACAGCCAAGTCGCAAAAAGCAGGGCGGCTTTGCAGAAGGGACCCCAGTGCTGCTGGGGTGGGTGGGCTCGTTTCGCTGGGGTGTTTCCAGCAGCCTTAGTGAGGGGAAAAGCTCCTCTTCGGCTCTGGCTGGAGTTCCTAGCGCTGGAGGCAGCGGGCCCATAGGTCCTGCTTGGGCTGCGGAGCTCCAGAGCGCGGGGTGACCGCTCCAGCACCCCTGGGATCAGCGGCGAGGGCAGCTCCTCCTGCTCCCAGTCACAGGGATGGCACCTGGGGCTTCCCTGGAGGACTCTGCCCGCATAGTTCATTGCCCCAAACTCTTGACCCTACATATAGGGGCTTGTTTCCCACAGCAGGAGCTCTGCGGAGCCTGGCATACCTGTTTAGTCGTGACCTTGAATCCTGTGTGGAGTTTTGGGTCCCTCAACTCCAAGAAAGACATTCAGTTGCTGGAGTATGTCTAGAGAATGGCAACTGAGCTGAGGAAGGGTGTGGAGCACAAGACTGATAAGGAGCAGTCGGGGGAGCTCAGCCTGGAGAAAAGGAGGCTCAGAAGGGACCTCATCACTCTACAAAGGAGGATGGAGCTAGGTGGGGAGGTTGGTCTTCTCCCGAGTAGCTAATGGAAAAACAAGATGAACCGACCTCAAGGTGTGCCAGGGGAAGTTTAGATTGGATATTAAGAACAATTTATTCACCAGAAGAATTTTTCAGCTCTGGAAGAAGCTACCCAGGAGAACGGTGGAGTCGCCATTCCCGGAGGGATTTGATAAATGTGCAAATATGGCACTTTGGGACATGATTTAGTGGCAAGCCTGGCAGTGCTGGGAGAATGGTGAAACTCGATAATCTTAGAGGGCTTTTCCAGCCTAAATGACTGGGATTCTGTGACATCTTGCTGGTTTCTAGGCTTTCTGTGTCTCAACTTTCAGCCAGACAGACTTCAGTGTAGGTTTTCTGCAATGTATGTCTCTGCCTGAGGGATCTCCCAGAGCTGGTGGCAAAACTTGCCTTTGCCAAAACTATGCAGCAGTGGTAGGTTGCAAGCATTTGGTGTACTGTGTGATGTTGTTCCTACTTCCATGCTGTGCATTCACCCTTTCCTCAAGCATGAAACCATGAACATGCTCCATCCACATGGGGAGAGCCTGCTGCTATGTTGGCTGTGAGAGCTCATGGGGGTGCACCTTGGTGTCAGGGACAGAACATGAAAACCTTGTCTGTAGCCATGAAATCCCCTATCTGGACACAGTGTGGTTTCCTGCTTGCTGTGTTGTGTATGTGCCTGTTGCTGGTGCGTCCCATCCTTTGGCACTGTGGGGGCAGAGGGTTGGGGATGTGAAGAGAATGGGAGGATGGTGGTTTCAGTAGTTTCAGAGAGTCTCCTGGAAGGTGGAGGGGTCCCTGCCTGCTCCTGGAGGTGTACCATGTGGTGGGTGAGGTGTGGCCCTGGGTACAGCTGCAGAGGTGGCTGTATGCACTGCGGGGCCTCCTTGGAAAACCTTCTGCACCTGAGCAGTGAGAGTGTCCCTAATGCCATGACCTTTTCTGCAGTAATCACTCCGGTTTTACTGATACCATGCAAGAGAGAAACATCAAGTTGTGTTCCTTTAAAAGCATGGTGATACCCTCGTGTACAGAAGAGATTATTTTGAGAAGCTCTGGCTCTTTGCAGGCAGCGTGTTTCAGTCCTGACTGGAGGCCGCTGGCACAGAGCCCAGGCAGGCAGAGGGCATGGCAGGAGCAGGCAGGTCTGTGCAGCAAGCAAGGCTGCTGCATCATGCTGCTCCTGCCCCAACTGCTGTCCCTGCTGCTGTCCCCCACCTGCAGTGGGAAGGTGGAGTTGCTTTCTGTTGGCTTTTTGGCACATGACCTGCCCCTTTATTTTCTTGCCCCTTACTGCACTACAAGGTTGCCAAATAAGCCTTGAAAGCTTTCAAGGCTGCCTTCAGTTTCTGGTTTGTTTTGGGATAAAACCTGAAGCGGATTCAGGCAGTCATGTTCTGTATGCACAGAGTCTGTATGAAATTCTGCCTTCTCCATGTGTTCTTAACCTTTGGTATCCCCTCACTCCTTCCCATCTGTGCACACAGGGTCCTTTAGAAAAGCACTACAACTACAGTTGGATGGAGCCCTGAGCAATCTGATCTAGTGAAGGGCATCTCTGCCCATTGTGTGGGGGATGGCTGGATGATCTTCAGTGAATCTTCCAACACATTTGTGATTCCATGAACTTGCAGGGCACTTTCTTGGTAATTAACCTGGTCTAATTACAATCAGCTAACTCTAAGAGAGGGATACAACTGTATTTGTTATAGTTAGTGACACTACTGTTACTTTTTTGTAAACTCTCATTTTTGATGTAATTTTCTCATTTCAGTTTCCAGTGTGACAGTTGTACTGTCTTCATGGGCATGTGTTTGACACAAAGCTGGCAAAGCCTTTCAGTCCTCTCCTTTTTTATATGGTTTTGCTTTAACTGCAGTGGCAGGTCAGTAAGTATTGGAGCTCTTCAGACTATAGAATTGGCATAAAGAGAATTGTTCCTTTCAATAAGCACTGTTTGGCTATGATATGGTCCAAACTGTGAGGTCTCTCTCTACATCTGCAGGAGAAGATGAAAATCTGTGGTGTGATAACGCACAGGCAACCTTCTGCAGACAGCAACAGACCAAATTTCTAGGATCTTCATGGCTGGAGGCAATGCCATCTGCAGTCTGGCCTGCTTAGCCCTGCTGTGAACACTTGCTACATAACTGTTGATATTGCAGAACACAACACAAAATTGAAGTTTGATAAAGTGTTTTGGTCCAGTCTGAGCTGTCAGAGAGACAATGCAGGCTAACACCTGAACACCTGGAAGTGGTATTCAAAATATTCCTGTTCTTCCCTATCCTCTGCAGGACTAACAAAGGGTTTGCAGCTGGATCAGTACCTCTGGACTCGTGCACAAATATTTGTGTTGGTGCCTGGGAAAGGCAGGGTGGGTGTGGGAGTGATGGAAGGGGAAGATGGTCAGGAGGACTCCTTGTCCTGGCAGGCCTGGAATATGGTGGGGCATCCCAGTCTGTGTGGGCTCCACAAGTTGTGCTCCAGGCAGGGGTGGAGGTGGGTGTGTGGTGGGTCAGGGAGTCATGCAGGGAGGACATGACCCCACCCTCCCACTAGGATGCCATCTGATCATGCCAAGTGGGGATTTGCTTGTAAACCAACCACTTTTTCTGATTCTATAGCAGGACAGTTATTTCTGTGCCAACAGCCATGTGCCCCAGTGTGGGCGTAAGGCAAAGGGCCCTTCTTGACCCAGTCCAGCAGTGGTGTGACTTGGGGTCATCCATCCTACCCTGCAGAAGCCAGCAGGACTCAGACCTGTGCAGTTTGTACATGCAGCAGGAGAGCAGGGCCAGGGCTGTCCCTTCAGCTGTCCCTGTGTCACTGTGACCAGTCTCACACAGTGACCCTCCAGATGCAGCCAAGGGCAGAGTGTGAATGGTCATGGAGAACTGGGAACTGGCAGTGCAGGGACTTGCTTGCATGTGTGCCTTTGTCTGGCAGTGACATGCTGTGGGGACAGCAGAGACAGTCCTCAACAGCCAGGGCAATGCATACTTGTGGTACCAGCTTCTTCCCTGCCTGGCATTGTACCCATAATCTCCTTGCCTCCACCCGGCCATGGGCCAGGGGCTTTGTAGAGTGAGATCACCACAGAGGGCCTGGCTATGGCATGTTCATGTGGAGACTGAAACTGAGCTGGGCAGTGAGCTGAGGAGGGGAGAAAATCTCACCTGGCTGCATTGAAGGGTAAGTCCCCTTGTGGTCCCTGCACCTCTGCACTGACACTGCAGAGCCTTCAGGTGACTGGAGTTCTTAGCTGGACCAAAGCTTCAACAGACACTACTAAGGTTTATTTAAATTCAATATTTAAAGGTAAACATCAAAACTTTCCCTGGCAACAAGCCATCAAGCTTTTTGCAAAGCACCTTCACATCTCTGCTCTGCCAAGCCAGCTGTCAGGGGCACAGCTTCTTTCTCCCTTTCTATTCAGTGCTTCTTTGTACTCTGCCCCAGATAATTATTTTTACACCATTCTTTAAGCTGTTTGTTTGCTGCCTGACACAGCGTATTCAAGAACCATATAGTATATGGGACAATCAACAATCAACGTCAGTAAAAAATAAAAAAAGCCAAAACCCAACAATCCTCATTCTTCTGAAGCTGACAATTGCTTGTGGGTACTTGTGGGAAGGAGGGAGCTTTGCAGGTGTTCTATGAGCAGTGTCCAGAATGAAGCCCCAGCTCTGGCAGGAGCAGTCCCAGGATGCACTGTCAGGATCCAGCCCTGTGTGACAATGCCAGCAGCACATGGCACTTCAGCATGAGCCCAGAAAATATGTGCAAGGTTCACTGCCACCTGCAAGCTTTGCCATAGAGCTCAGTGGCAAATTCTCTCCTGCTTCAGTCACCTCAGTGGGATGCTCCTATGGACTTTGCTGCCTGTGAGCCAGAGAAGCAGACAGGGAGGGATCAAGCTGTGCTTTCCCCAGACAGAACTTTGCAGCCCCTGTGCTAATTTTGGACCCTAGGTTTGTGAGCAGGCTTCAGAGAACTGAAGACATCCAGAAAACCCCACAACTTTGGTGGTTTGCTTTTCCTCCTGGCCGGGTTATGTTTTAGTTTGGAGGAATGGCCTGACTTGGGGTGAGCACACAGAAGCTACCCTGGCATAAGTGGAACAAGATTAATATGATGAAGGGGATAGTGGGTG